CTGCAGCTTGTAATGCCTTTTTGAACATTTCCAAATCATTTATGCAGACTTAAGTACCATTTGAGGCATAGGTACAATCAGGGCTGGTGCAAGGATTTTAGCTGCCCTAGGCAAAGCCTTATTTTGCCGCCCCTCTTGGCTCCACCCTTGACTCAGCCCCTCCTGCAGTGTGTGAAGTGGTATGCAAGAGGGTGTGTATAGTGGATGAGGTGTGCGTGTATATATTAATGAGGATCCTATGGCAAGAGATATGCAAATGTTTGCTGCAAAAAACTTGCAAATAACTTGTGATTGGATAACTCAAGACAAGGTGCTACAGCTATTAAAGAAAATTAATGTAAATAAAGCTCCGGGGCCTGACGGTATTCACCCACGAGTACTTAAGGAGCTAAGTGGGGAAATAAGTGAACCTCTGTATTTAATTTTTCAAGATTCTTTTGTTTCAGGTGTTGTACCGGAGGATTGGAGGAAGGCAGATGTTGTTCCTATATTTAAAAAGGGTTCAAAATCCTTGCCTGGAAATTATAGACCTGTGAGCTTAACTTCTGTAACTGGGAAAATATTTGAAGGGCTATTAAGGGATAATATTCAGGAATTCATTGGGAAGAACTTTGTTATTAGCAATAATCAGCATGGTTTTATGAAACATAGGTCATGTCAAACTAACCTAATTGCATTCTACGAAGAAGTAAGTAGAAGTATAGATCAGGGTGTTGCAGTGGATGTGATCTACTTGGACTTTGCCAAGGCATTTGATATGGTTCCTCACAATAGGTTAGTCTTCAAACTAAAAGAAATTGGTCTAGATGAATATTCCTATTTTTGGATAGAACATTGGCTTAAGGACAGAGTACAACGAGTTGTAATTAATGGTAAATTTTCAGGCTGGACAAAAGTGGTAAGTGGTGTCCCTCAGGGTTCTGTTTTGGGACTACTTCTATATAACATGTGGCGAAACCAACCTCGCCACTGTGAACTGGAGAAGCCTGGTTGCTCGCCTGCTCCCTTTGGACTATGGCCCTGCAGGTTAAACCGTTTATTTCCCCTGCAGAAAGGCTTATTTGTGTGATCTGAGTGCCATTCATCTAATAATGTGCGCTCAGATCCCAGCTATCTGGGCATATGTGAAATGTCTGTGTGTTATGTGTAAAAGGTGACTTTATGTATTTTAAAGTGTTTTATGTCTTTTTGCAACCATGTGCTCAATGGAGTCTGCCTCTATCCCTGGATAATTGGATTACTTTCTCCATTGTCCCCAGGATAGAGGCCCTGTAAAACCTGCTTGAACCAGATAGCCATGCTGGCAGGGGGTTTTAAAAGATACTTTACTAACTCTTGAACCCCTGGTCTGATTCATGCCATTTTCTAATATGTTGTCCCCCTGAATGGATTGATTGTGAATATGTAATTTTATGTGAATGTGATGTATGGTTTTAGAGTTATGAAAGTTGGGTAGAAAGTATGTTTTAACTGTATGTGTAATTGAGTTTCCTCTCAGGATAAGGGGAGGGAATATGTGGGATGTAACTGTGATGTGATTGGTTGTTTTATACCTCCCTGTGGGCGGTCCTGTATGTGAAAGGCTGTAATAAAAACCAGGCTGAGTGTGCCAGCACCTGAGTTCCTGTTTTAACCCTCAAAGTGAAGTGTCGTCTCATTATTGGGGGAAGGATTTATTGTATGCTGTTCCAGTTTGACTGCTAGGAGAGTAAACCTATTCGTATGGTTCCTATTCAACTGTCTACAGCATTCATATGCTTGAGAGGATTCATATGCTTGTTCGGTGGTTGTGGTGTCTGCTGCAGTGCTTGGAGTCCTCAGGAAGCGCTAGGAGCATCCTTTAACGGAGGTACCCAGTCGGGGTGCCAGGCGATCCGTTACATAACATATTTATAAAAGATCTTGAAATAGGCATTGAAAGCCGTGTTTCAGTGTTTGCAGATGACACAAAACTTTGTAAAGTAATAAAATGTGAGCAGGATATTGCTTTGCTGCAGAGAGATTTGGATAGATTGGGGGACTGGGCACTAAAATGGCAGATGAAATTTAACATAGAGAAATGCAAAGTTATGCACTTCCGGGTTAAGAATGCACAAGCAACTTACACACTAAATGGTAGTGAATTAGGGATAACCACACACGAGAAGGATTTGGGAGTTGTTATAGACAACAAATTAGGCAGCAATATGCAATGTCAATCTGCAGTTTCTAAGGCCAGTAAGATTTTGTCATGTATAAATAGGGGCATAAATTCTCGGGATGAAAATATAATTCTGCCTCTTTATAAATCGCTGGTAAGACCACACCTTGAATATGTTGTGCAATTTTGGGCTCCTGTTCTAAAGAAGGATATCATGGCACTGGAGAGGGTCCAGAGACGAGCTACAAAATTGATAAAAGGAATGGAGCATTTTAGTTATGAAGAAAGGTTAAAAAAATTAAATCTGTTTAGTTTTTGAAAAACGGCGCCTGAGAGGGGATATGATAACTTTATACAAATATATTCAGGGCCAGTACAAACCATTATCTGGAAATCTATTCATAAACAGGGCTATACATAGGACACGGGGTCACACATTTAGACTGGAAGAAAGGAGATTTCATCTAAGGCAAAGAAAAGGTTTTTTTACAGTAAGAACAATAAGGATATGGAATTCTCTGCCTGAAGAGGTGGTTTTGTCAGAGTCCATACAGATGTTTAAACTGAAATTGGATAAATACTTACAAAAACATAACATACAGGGATATAATTTCTAATTAGTGGGGTAATAGCTGCTTGATCCAAGGAGACATCTGACTGCTATTTTGGGGTCAAGAAGGAATTGTTTCCCAGTTTGTGGCAAAATTGGAAGCGCTTCAGACCAGGTTTTTTGCCTTCTTTTGGATCAACAGCAACAACATTTGTGAGGAAGGCTGAACTTGATGGACGCAAGTCTCTTTTCAGCTATGTAACTATGTAACTATGTAACTATGTGTACAGTGGATGCAGTGTGTGTAGTGTTTGTAATAGATGTAGAGTGTGTGTTTATATGGTTAATACAGATTGTATGTTTGTGTAATGGATGCAGTGTGTGCAGTCTTGTTTAATTTATGCAGTGTGTGTAGTTTGTGTGTTGTGGATATAGTGTGAAGTGGATGCAGTGTACTATAGTGAATGCAGAGTGTATGTTTGTGTAGTAGATGCAGTGCGTACTCAGTGGATTCAGTGTGTGTTTGTGTAGTATTTGCAGAGTGTGTGTTTATTTATGTAGTGGATGGCAGTGTGTACAGTGGAAGGTGGTGGTGTATATAGTGGAAGTGTAAATGACCTGTGTGCCGTGCAGAGCGTTGCCATATTAACCCGTGGCAAGGCTCTGACGCACAATCCATGGGGCCCCGGTGCGAAACTGATCCCACCTCCCCTGCATTGGCAATCAGGGCACATGGCTTATTTAAATTCCAGCTCCTCCTTGCAAGATGGAGGAGCTGGAGTGGGACCACCAAAGTTTAATATGCAAAAGAATAATAAGCGCTCTCTTCTCAGGGATAAGCTGCAGTTCACCAACAAGGTGTTCCTCTACCTTGTGATAAATGGACAGATAAAATAGAAAGGTGAACAGCGCTAAAAATCAGAAAATGTACATACGTTTTGTAGAAATACTGGCCAGCAGAGTAACTTAAAAAAAAGAGAGAAACAAAAATACAAATAATGGTACAGTATGTATGAACGATATAATTCCACAAGAACAAAGGTGTTATATTCACACTCACACTTTGAGGAGCTATATCAGCTCGGTGTTAAGAGCCTGGACGGAATAATCCCCGTCTATGGATTTCTTGAGGTTCAAGACCGTTGGTGACTTTATAGTTGTAAATATTCGTTACATGAAAAACAAGAGTAAAATACACCACATGGTATAGTACGTAAATTTAAAATATTGTGAAAAAAAAAGTGGATGATCCTACTTACATATACTAGAGCAAACGCTCTAGTTTGGAGAATTTCAGGTGGAATAATCCCCACCTTGGGATATAGTGGACCCAGGTATAGCAGCAAAGCAGTATTGGATAGGAAGGAGGACAAAAGGAATGACTGGATAGTTAAAAAATATATATACTTTAATACAATAAGTGAAAAGTGAATAATAAACTATAAAACCAGTCCTGTATAAAAGTCACTATATCCCAAGGTGGGGATTATTCCATCTGAAATTCTCCAAACTAGAGCAGGTCGTTGCTCTAGTATATGTAAGTAG